GGAGAGATCAACGAGTGGTGCCACGACCACACCAATAGTGACACTGACGTTTCACATCTGCAAATCCAGACCAGACTCCTTCCTTCAAAACGATTCCCAGTTCACGCTGGTCTCATTCCACGTGTGTGCTGGAGCGGCGTGGATGTATTTCAGGGTCATCATGGCCTCCTCTCAGAGGCGTGAGAGTGCTCTCCCTTTTCCTTTCTGGCCCAGAAGCCTTTCTCCACAGGCAAACACTGTGGACAAAGCCTCTTTCTGCCACTTGGGATCTCTATGGTGACCCACAGCCAGCTCTCAGTGTGGTAGTGGAGTCAGTCTTTGGAGCCCAGGATGGGCAGCGAAACGCACTGAAACGTCCCAGTGCAGCTATGTTTCTGGGGTAAAAAATAAATAAATAAAAAAAATCAGTCTTGAGGTCTTTTAATTTCTGAAGAAAGAAAAAGCTTAGCTGCTTCCCTTCTGCTACTTCTAACTCCATCATCAAGTGAAAGGGACTATTGTTTAACTACGAGCAGGGATAGCGTCACGTCATTATCGGTCAGCCCACTCAAGTTTAGCCCGCTGGTGGGAGGATGGGGGCTGGGGGCTGCCACTTGTATCAGTGGCCAGTATCGCACCACCACTCAGGAACTTCGGCTGTGCCAAGTTCCCCATCAGCCAGGAATTTTGCTGAACGTCTACGTCGTTGCCCTGAGCCAACTTAGTCTTCACACTTCAACCAGAAAAACAAAGTAAAGAAGCAAAACCAAATTCAAAAGAGAAGGACAGAATCCATTTTGTTGTTTGGCAGCCAACATTATGCTTTTCATTGGGGGGGCTACTAATGCTGGCACAACACCTACTTAAAATATCTCCAATGTTTGTGTTTGCCATTATGGTTTAGGTTTAAAGATTTCTAAGTGGAAAATCTAGGGTTAGATGTGCTACAATTTCCACAATTTCTCTACTTTAATACAGCAAACTAATAAAAAAAAAATCAATGAATTAGCAAAAGAACAACAGACCTATAAGAACAATAGCTGCTTTAAATCATTTTGCAATGTAAGAGACTATGTTAAAATAAAAGATATTGTTGTACTGCAGTCGTCATCATAACATGATGACATGATGACAACAACAATAGCATGTTTCTCTGCACTTCTGCCAGTTTCTATAAAAATGAAGTCACTTCTGTTCGTGAAGTTATCACTAAATGTATTGTGCAGGCATAAAATGCCAACACAACACATTGGCTTTCTGAACCTGATGCTCGGTTAAGTTGGTGTTTAGATCATCCCTAGATTTCAATTGTACATTTTGTCTGTTTGAAAAAAATCAAAAAAATCAATCAAAATCAATTGTACATATTTCTGTCTGCTTCATATGCAGGTCTACATTTTACGTATTTCACTGGCTCGCTCATTACAAAATTCTCATTTGGCCGTCAGCTCTAATTAAATGAGCGGCAGGCTAAAAATAACCATTATCCTATTGTTTCACACATAAAAACAACTTGAAATTCGGAGAGCTGCGCAGGGCCAAAACGCCTCCACAATGAGACTATTCTGCAGACCTGTTACATAACCTTTAAAACCAGGGGCCCGGACTTTGCACTGGCTGAAGAAGTTCCACCGCCAACAAATCCGTGGAAGGTTGCTAACCCTCTCAAAGATTAACCCCAATAAAAGAATTCGATATCCAACGACAGAAACCTTCAGAAGCAGATTTATGACGACACAAGAGTCAAGGAAGGCTCTATTTATTAAAGGGTCAGGGTCAGGAATGTCTTTTTGGTGTTCTTCCTCATATAACCTCAAGGAACTAGCTAAAAAAAAAAGAAGAAGAAATAAGCAAGACATAAAGAAACTACACTCGGGTTACCCCAATGACCTCAACTCAGTTCCATAAACAAATTATTCAGATGGCAAAAGAAAGCAGATGCTGAAGAAGCCTGTCAGTCTTTGGGTGTGACAAATGATCTCGTTTAACAGGCCGAACCTGACAAGGAATCCAAGTCAGGAAGCAAGGGACAATCGCAGACATTTGGGAAACAAAGACTCTGTTGAACAAGAGCACAAGCAGAAAGAAGCCGAGGACGTTTCCCTCCCAGCGGCGTCACATCTCTGTGAGTCCTCACTGGCTCCGGAGGTGACGGCCTAGCAGAGTATCTGTTTCAAACCTTTAATCACAAGACTGGGTGACAAGTTACTTCAAATATGAGCGTCTTTGTCCCTGCATACAGTTGTGGGGAAAAAACTGTTTTCAATGATGGGAAAAATTTTGGAAAAAAAAAAAACTTAATCCTTTCACAACACTTTCTTCATGGGTGTGTTTTCAGTGATTTTCCTTTGAATGGTCAAATTTTTGGAAAGGATTAGATGTCAGACGAACTTTGGGTTTCCGAAAATGTTCCAAAACTCCTGAACATCATTCGGATAAAACTTTGCAAACCTTAAGTCGCACTTCTTACACAACTACCAATATGGTTTCTCCTGATCTGGGCTTCAACTGGTTTGGAATTCAGTCCATAATCTTTCCCAGTTTGATCAGAGGCAACTATTGCTGATGTTCTTCCACCCTGTGAGCTTCCAGCTCCCATGTCTCATGGAAGTGGCCCTGCTTGCTGATGAATAATTAAAGTATTTGTTCATCACCCTTAAAATCAAACAGCAAGGGGTGTATTCAGTTTTGCCTATCACTGATTTGTCATAGTAATGTTAGCTGCAAATAGACCTTACTCAGCGAATATTTTGCTCAAGAGTTTTGTCCCAACTTGAAAGTGAGATGGCGGAATAAGCTGCCAAAGCTAAAAATGCAAATGTGCCCAGTAATGTGATATGATATATTTTTCTACACCTGTTTAAGCTGTACCTTTGTGCCGGAGCTCACACTCCCCGACCTCACCGAGGACGCGTCCCCGTTCTCGCGCGGGACAGGGGTGCCGTTGCTCCGCCTGTCCTCGCGCTCCGAGTCGCTGTCCCCGCCGGGCAGGGGGATCCCCTCCGTCACGTATTCCTTCCGGCACCGCAGGTCGTGTTTGCTCAGCAGCTCCGCCGTTTCGGGGTCCACCACGACAAGCTCCAGAGCCCCCACGGTCGCCCGTATCCTCGCCACCACCTGCTGGTGGCTCTCGCCCTCCACGTTCTCCCCGTTCACGAACATCAGCCGGTCCCTCGCGAGCAGCCCGGAGGCGGCGGCGGGGGAGTCGGGCTCCACGAGCCGGATGAACTGCCCGGTTCTGCCCTTCTCGGCGTGCAGGTGGAACCCATAGCCGGTGGGCGACTTCTCCAGCACACAGAGCCTGGGTCTGAGGTGAGACATCTCGTGTCGCTGAATTCGGGAACTTTTTCGTCGGTTTCCGTTCTTCGCCCGCGAGCCAAAAACGAGTCTGGAGCTTTTTCACGCAGCGACCATGAAGAAAGAAGCGACACCTGTTGCGCGCAAACTTTTACTCGAGGTAAACTTCCGCAGAGGAGCGCGAGGGGAAAGTTTCCGCCGCTAAAAAAAAGAAAAGTTGCGCTTTCTCCCTTTATAGACTTCCTGAGATCCACCCCCTCCGCTATGTGTTGCAATGTGTTGTCTCACCTCCAATCCGTGGGCTCCCTTCGTGGAAGTGTCACTGTCGAGCTCAACCAACTTAGGGGAGACCGTCCAGGGACATTTTCAAAATAAGAGTGTTACAAGCCAACCAAAACAAAACAACAACAACCAAACAACAAATGGTCATTGTCTTGTATTGCTGATATACTCTTACAGTATATGGCAGATTTAGATTGTAAATTATTTGCATTCAAAAATCTATTTTCGTATTTGCATTTTTTAACTCTCTCAACAATAATTAATTTTCTAGCATTGCATCCCGCCTGATCTACAATTACCAAGCAGCTTTTTGCATGTTTTTACTGATACCTAAATGATTTATTCATTTATTGACACTGGAAAACCTCCATCGCCATCGCTGAAATCTTTTGCTACCTCCGCTGATTCTCTCCAAGATTCAAGAGAGAATTCCGTCTGGTCTCCCCAAAACACGAATATTGCATCCATTCAGCAGAAATATTAAATATTTTTAAATTTGCATCGGTAGGAATATTTTTGGGACTTCATTGTATATGCACATATTGTTAATGTCAAAGCAATGAGTTCATTTCTTTGCTTAATCAAGCAATGCGGCATTTTGTAAAAGGTTTGAACTTTGCATCATATTATTTTCACAAGTAACATAATACTTGACCTCCTTCCAATTAGGATTCACGCATTCATCCAATCACAGAGATTCTTGTGGATCCAAATTGTTTGTGGAAATGTGGTCCACATGCAAGATGTTTTTCATTGAGGATACCCAAAATATTTGAAAGAAAATGCAGTTCGGAAAGTTGAGAAACCAAGTCACAATCCTACTGGACTCACTCCGCATTTGGACTTTTACAACACGAATATAAACAAAAATATGTGCAGCTAAGGTAAATTTAAGGATCCCATTTTCAGCACATTCACAACAGATATGAATCTCTAGTGCAAACGGCACCAATTACGTTGGGTCTTCAAATAACCCAACAAAATAAAAAAATGTTTTGAGATGGAGTTGTATTAGAAAATAAAGTATTAATAATTATAAAGTGCATGTAAAAAGCACTTCAATGAAGAATGTTGGTCTTGGTTGCACGGCAAAAAACCTAATTCGATTGAAAAGATGTTTACCAAAAGAGGTTGTGTTCGCCCAAGCCACACTTTTATCTTGAAGGCTCAGCTGACAAACAGGAAGTTTTATTCTTCTTCCGTTCCTGCTCAGTTTTCTGGCTGTGTCTCAAATCAGATAGATAGATGGTTTTCTCGGCTGTCCTCTGCTTTTGATTTTGAACAGAGGTTGCTGCCCTCAGCACACTTTCAAGAAGATATGATTGCACAACACTTCTGCAAACCATAACTAAGAACCAAAACCTTTTTAACTCACAGAAAAGCTGCCTTGGTAACAGCTGTCGACCAGATCTTAAAAGACTATTGGAAAGATGGAATTTTGGTTGAAAATAATTTATTTATTTTTTTAATTCAGCAAATGACACGTCAAAAACACATGCTAAACCATCATAAAGCATCCACAAAGCATGTTCACTGACTAATTTGAAATACAGAGCGAATTGATTTGCATATCTTTGTAGAAGGGAGGGGCGGGGGAGATTGCATAAACAACACGGTTATCACAGAGGCGTTTTGACATAACTTTTTATTTAAGGCTTCCCTAATCATCGCATTGAAATGCGAGGTTGGTGTGACGACCTTTGTGCTTAGTTCCTATCAGCTCATTGGTTTAGTTGCTAAAGTATTACATTTTGACTCTAATGGTCCTAATAAACCAACAGGTCGCTCTATCAAAACAAATCAATAGCTATTTCAGCTAATTAGAAAATGCAGAAGTTGGTTAGGCTGCTTGACATCTCTGCTATCTCATTGCATGAGTAAGAACAAGTTATATATTCATTCTTTTTATGTTTGTGTGTAATTATAATCAAACGATGCACTTTACAACACGATTTTACCCTGAGCTTTGACTTGAAACTTTAACAGCTGTGTTGGTTATCTATGTTTCTGTTATTTTCAACTTAAAAGAATTTGGGTTACATACATTTCTAAGTGAAAACCGCACAGATATGGTACATGCAATCCAGCCTTACATGCAAAAAGAACCAAACCTCAAAATTAGCAATTAAGTGAAAAGGCATGTGCTTTGAGCAAGTTCAGTGTTAGCGTCAGTGGTGCTTGGAAGTTTGATGCGGTCGCTATGTCTTGGGAGCATTTTTAGAAGTACCTCTGCTGCATTCTTAGCACAAATAAGTACGGCATATACAGAAGGAGATGCCAGCAGCTGATCAATATAAAGAGCCCGGAGTGTTTTGGCTCTTTAGTTTGAATTTTTATTCAGCAGTGCAATCCTATATTTCCTCAGCTCTTCCAGCTGATTTTAGGAGACGAATGTCTTTGCAATCAAATGGATTTAAATTGCACATGTATATGAATAACAATACAGAAAATAAAATCTTCGATTAGATTACTTAATTTCGTTGAATTCAAGAGGATATATATATTGTTTTACATTTATGTTCATAAATGATTTCTGCAAACATATTCACATATTACAAGTCTTGAGATTTCATTTCCTTGTGCCTTACATTCATAGTAAGAAGCTGGTTTGTCTCTCTGTGTGTGTGTGTGTGCGTGTGTGTGTGTTTTTTTTAGCGTAATTTGCATTTTTCAACACACGCAAAATAACATAAAGTTGGCAAAAGGAGTCTCACCGACAGCGTCTCACATCGCAACTAGCTGCATTTGAAACGACGACGAAACAAAAACACACCAAAGCATTTTCACACAACCGTCATAAAGCAGACGGCTGTAAACCAGTTATATTACAAATGTCTAACCCATGGCAATCCATGGTAATATTAGCATCATAATAATTTGCAAGTACGTACAAACTGAGTGACATTTGTGTCATGGCTTCTCAATAAAAGGAACATATTTGGTAAAGTGGAGGCCAGACTTTGCTCTATGACCCAGTAGCTATGGTATCTATGGGAGGATATCCGCACAGGCTGGCATTACAGAAAATGCTGTGCCTAAAGTTGGGCGTTGTGTTTACGTGCAGATTTAACCCCGTCTCAATCCATCATCTTACAAAAGTTTCAATACTCCTTTAACATCTCCTCTTTTCATCACATCACGGCCACAATTTTCATTTTCGTGTTTTTGTGTCAAAGAAAACAAGTGAGAAATTGCGAAATGCAGAAAAACAATGCATAAAAAACAAAAATCTGAAAAGTATGCCGAGCATTTGAAATTGGACCCCTTCACTCTGTTGTGACTAAACATTTCGATGCAATCAACTGCCTTCAAAAGCCACCCTAATATCTCACCATCGACCAGGACAACAACTCTAAACACATAGTATTTATGTGTTAGAATGGCCCAGTCAAAGCCCAGTGGACTTTTTGGATTTTTACTAGTAAAGGTTTCATTATTTTTCCTCCATATGGCAATTAAGTACATCTTGTTTTGGTCTACCACCAAAAGCGTGAATAAAATACACTCACAATTTTGGTTTTAAGGGGTATGAATACTTTTGCATAGTAAATGGTGTGAGTTTTGCAGGTGTTGAAAGGCATATCTTCAACAAATTGGCTAAAGTTGTGCTCTCGCTCTGAAAGTCAGCCGCTAGTTAAGTACAGAAATTCATAAGGCAATGTTCCCTTAGACCAAAAATGCGATGCGAAGCGTGAGCTTCTGTTGACAAGAGAGTTTGGAGAATCTCTTCTTGGCAGAGGTGAAACCGTGGATCGTCCACATTAATACCTGGCTCCATATTCTCCTCGATTCTTCTTCTTAGGATATACTTGTGAATTTTTATGTCCCATGAATGGCAGCGAAATATTTCCTCCCACTCGGCGGCCCTCTGCGCATCCGTGACAGCCTGAGACTCAGAAGTAGCTGCAGCAGCCGGACTTCTCCTTCTGCGACTCGATGTATTCGTGAATTTGGAACTTGGGCTCATTGGGGTGCTGGATGGCCCGGTGCTTCAGCTCCCTGACGGACAGAACAACAACAATTGCTGTAAAAAAAAAAAAAAACGAATACTGGAAACCCTCATGTCCCAGATGAAACAAACAAAAAAAAGGTAACACTTTATTTGATGGGTTGTGAATAAGACTGTCATGACACCATCATAAACATGACATAACATCTGTCATGAACATGAATAAGTCTTCATGAATATTTATGACTATTGTCATAAAGTGTCATTCGGTAAATCATGACACTTTTAATACAAAGTTGACATTATTCAAAATGTCTTTGTTATGACAACTTAACATTAACCAAGAAATCATGATCTGACATAAACTTGTTTCAAAAGTGTTACTGATTAAACTTTAGCTTTAATAACATAAAGCTACATCCTTTTTAAAGTTTGTGACAGTGCCATGACAGTCTTTTTCCCAACCCGTTAAACAAAGTGTTACCAAAAAACACCCCCTGAAAAACTATAAATTAGAAGCGTCTTAAAATAAAACCAAATACATGTTTTTAAATAATTAGTCCACAAACCTTCCCCACCAGCACCGTGGGAAGATTCCCACCACAGTTTATCTTTACCTGACATTAAAATTTGCTTGCTGATCTGGGGTGGCAGCAAAAACAAAGTAAACTTATTAAAAGAAGGCGAACACTTTCCCCGCCCCGTCAACCCGTATCGACAGAGACGCAAGTGTTTATTGAAACTGTGTCATACTTGGCTACGGCTGTGAAGGCGAGCTCTACGTTGACTCCTGTCTTGGCGCTCGTCTCCATGAAGGGGACCGAATACTCCTGGATGAACAAAGGGGAGCAAACAGCGGTAAGAAGCAGAACCACTGGTGTCAGTGGTGTTTGTGTAGCTGTGCGGAGACTCACTCTGGCCAGCCTCTCTCCTTCGTCTCTCCTGATCGCTCGTTCGCCGCTCATGTCGGCCTGAAACGTGGACGCAGCACAGAGATGCTCAGGTTAGATCACATGAAGCGAGCAGATTTTCCCCTGGAATGTGCAGCGTAGCTTTAAGTTCGATCACTGCTTTTGAAATCAGCTTTCATTCTGCATGGATTTGAACACATGGATTTGAATGTATTTGTATTCTCATGGATCACATGTATGAACACACGATAGGGGGGAAAAAATGTGTGGAGCTTGTGGATGTTCAACTTCTGAGTTTGTTAACACTCGAGCTCGACTGCTTGAGGCGTGTTTCCTCCCCCAAGTCTTCTTTTGATATTTCAAAAACATATTTCTAAATCGACTCTGTAAGTCATCTCTTCAGTTATGGGAAATGTTCATATCTGTCATTTCACTATATGCTGATTTATATTTCTGAATAAGATGATGCAAATCGTTGACAGCTCAATATTTTTCTACCAAGAGGTCAATAAAGTGAGACATTTCACCGTATGACAACAACAGCTGCTACTATCTTACCATAAATTAGAGACCTTTTTTTTTTTTTAGTGTGGTATTTTGAGAATATTTTTAAGCTCTGCGTCTTGAAGGTTAGGATACCCGTATGCTATCATCCTGATCTCTGGCTTATTGCTGTTAACGTATCTGAACACCACATCCACACTTAGACTTAGCAACTTCCACTCTGTTTCACTGAGGCCCACAACCTCTCTATTCGATCGGGCCCACAACCTCTCTCTATTCGATCGGCGTGTTCTTCCATTACACACTGAGCTCCGCTAACATCGCCTTCTCACCTTGTTGCCCAGCAACATGATGACTACGTCGGTCTGTGCATACTCATGGATTTCTGTCAACCATGCCTGGACCGAGAAAACGAAACAAACACATAGAAAAGGTGGTCAACAGGAGCAGGTCTTACAAGTTCTTAGTTCTAAGTTCTTAGGCAAAAGAACTTACAAGTTCTTTTGCGAGACTCACCCTGATGTTGTCGAACGACGATTTGTTGGTGATGTCGTACAGAAGCAGCAAAGCTTTGGAAAGGAAAGAAAGAAAGAAAGAAACAAATCACAGCTTCGCTTGTATGCCTTTGTACAAAGCGTGAGTAGAACTTTGTAATTCACGTTGTGATTCATTCATTCTCACCATGTGCATCTCTGTAATATGCGTGAGTCACACTTCTGAAGCGTTCCTGTCCTGCTGTGTCCCAAATCTGAAACAGAAACCACACTGATCTGCTCCTGATTGCCTGTTATCTTCACTGACATAGCAAAGGAAGTTGAAATAAATAAATGAAACCAAAAGGAAAAACAGCAAATGTAGGAAGAATCTATTACTCGTGAAGTAAATCAATTGCCTGTTAAAAACGGATGCGAACACTGACCTGCAGTTTGACTTTTACGTTGTCAACAGTTACCTCTTTATTCTGAGGAAAAAAGGCAAGAAGAAAAAACATGATTAGAGGAGCTGACACTTAAAACAACAACAACAACAAAACCCTCAAGTCTCTTAGGAGCATGAGTGATGGTGTCGGGATAGGAAAAAAGTCTTTGGTCTCCCAAACGTACCGTAAATCCAATTCCAACTGTGGCAGAAAAGGAGCCTGGGATGAACTTGCCCTGGTCAAACTGAACCAGAAGAGAAGTCTTCCCTACGCCGCTGTCCCCGACCAAGATTGTCTGCGAGAAATCATAAACAAAACACAAATATTAATTATTATTATTATTTTTTTACAAACATCTGTAACATTACCCCGAGTGGCCTGCATTAAGCCAACAGAATGATCAATCATCACTATGGATGATTGATCATTCTGACTAGGGCTGAAATGACTAATTATGTTAATCACAATGAATTGGTTATTGAAATAATCCTTAACTAATTTAGTTATGAATTAATTGTTAACTAGCATGAAGACTCCAAAAAAAGAGGCAAGAACAGAACCGTCAGAACAGTAATTTAACCCAAACTGTATATAAATGTACACATTTTGTATTTAATATGTGAAATAAAATACTAAAAAAGTTGCTTTTTAATTAATTGTTCATTTGCATCTTGTATTTGCACTTCTAATATTGCATTATTTTAATATCAATTAAAAAATAATAATTAAATATAGTTTATTTGCATCTTTTAATGTATTTGTAGTATTGCATTAAAAAAGCTTTATACAATATTTAAGGGGGCTAAATAAAAAATATACATAATGTGCCAATTTATTATTCGAGTAATCGATTAATAGTTAGAAGAAACATGCTACAAATAACTGTAGCTGTAGCTCTAATTTGTATCCTGCTGGAGCTTTTCTCCTGTCGAAAAGGTTGTTATTGTCCACCGTCACCCCACGCTTTCTCAGAAGGAAGAATGGCTGAAACAATCCACACGTTTTCAGTGGGCAAGATTTTAACTAATGGCTTTATATAATACCATACTCTGACTTTGGTTGTGCTCTAAGATATTCCATTATTTCCATATTACAAGTAAATATGTTGGTGACTTCTTGGTGACTAAACAAAGTGGCGACTTTTCTCTGCTTTAACTTCTTAGAATCTATTAATACTTCAGCTATGGACAAAGATCTGCGTCATCCAAGAAATGTCTCCCCCACCTCTCTTCGAGCTGCTCAAATAATGATAATAATATCCTTTCTATGAGTTTGGCCGCGCACCGCTCTCCCAGCGTGACTCATAAGCTGGAGAGTGTAACATTCAAGGCAATAAAAAAAATTTTTTAAATCACTGAGAGACAGCTTTTCAGAAGCACACCAATCAATTCGTCATCTTTGTTTGAGCTGCAGCTTTTCATTTATGGAGTCTCACCGAGGTCCCGCTCCCTCCCCCACAGACTGTCCAACTGAGTCACTGACAGTAAGTGAAGTGCAACCAGGCTGCTCTGGCATCTGGGCTTAGAATTAGACAACGAGGACAAATACACACTTTTATTCGTTTAATAATACCATTATGGTGTTCAATTGACATCATGGGTCCCCGGAAGACGAGCAGAAATTAGTCCGCCAGCTCGCTGCACAGCTTCTTATTTTCGTTTTGAGACGTTAGCATTGACCAAACTTCAAGTTCTAGTTGTAAAGATAAAAACATTCATGAGTACAAACCCTCTATTTTATCACTGACCACACCCGTATTTTCCCCCCTCCAATCTCCACTACAAAATTCATAATCTAAAATCCTCCAAACATCGTATGAATCTGTACAGGGAAAATAAAAAAAAGAAAAACAAAAAGCTGTTTAATACTCATGACTGTGCTAATAGACAGTAGATGGGGAAAAAGAGTCTATTATCAAACCCCTCTGGGGACCAGAAGCAATTAGGCAGAAGTTCCACAGACTTTCTGGAAGAGGATTTTGCTTTCATGTGTCAGAGAGGAAGAAAGAGCGTTGTGTTGCAGGGTTTTTACTCTGCCTCAGGGTTTTCTTTTTACTGTTATTATTTCAGAGTCTTCCTCGTGTTCATGCAACTAAACATGGCTGCCTTCTTACTGCCTTAGCTTGTCAAAATTAGAGACACAATGTCAGAGAATTGACACCATTGCCGCCTCACATGACGACAGTTCCCATATTGCTTCTATTTCTCGGTGCGGATAAGCAAAAGAAGATGAGAATTTGAAAACCTGCAGGTTACGGTAGGTGTACTCTCTCCTACCGCAACCTGGCATCTGTCGAACACACAGATATAACAGTGTGCATGTGCATTTTTATTTTATTTTTTTTTGTTTGTTTCTAAGGAGTTTTTTTTTTATCAATAAATGACATACTATGTGTGGTTTCACTGGAATAAAACCCAAAATATGAAAACCCAACAAGACAAATGTTAACAGTTCTGCTCATATAACAAATACTGATGGATGCTAAAGTACGTTCAGTTAAACTATTTATCCACTGTAGCACTTTAAATCAATAATTATTGTTTTTCAGGTCATACAATTTTATTTTATTTTTTACAATTTGATTTTAAAAAATTGTTGAATTGTTAATTAAATTTTTTTCTTTCTTTGGAGAAAGAATGGGTTGATTTTACCCTAGTTTGCCATGAAATGCACCTGGTCCTGTTGCAGAGGAAATAAGTGTGGCTATTTTATTTGTGCACACTTTACTTTGAAGAACAAAAAAGGATAAGAAGTGATTACAATACAATCCAATTAAAAAAAAAATCTTTACAACCAAAGTCCATTTGAGCTGTAGCGCTATGGCAATGTTTTTTTATTTTTATTTTTGTATAACTTATGCATTCTCTTACAACCTGCCAGCATTTCAAATGAAAAGCAAGAACTGTTTAGTGACTTAAAATAGATGCGATTAATCTCTTCGACTCCCTCCAACCCACACATTTGGGCTTTCAGTGTGTGGAAATCCTGATCCAGTTTCTCCCACTTTTTCTCCTCCTCAGCTGCCACTTCAGTAATGAGCCCTTCGTTACGTTTCTGCTGCCTCTTCTCGTGTTTCAGAAACTTTGACAGGGAATTTTCTATCAGCATGACTTTCATATTCTGAAAAAGATCTCCAACCCTGAAACCAGTCCAGTAATTCGGTATGAAATGCAACAGGATAATAAATTGTTTTTCATTTGTGACATTTTTTAATGCTTGGTAGAGTGTATAATGCCAATAAATTGATTGAAGTATGATTACACATTCCGTAAATTTCGAAGATTTATAACTCACAAGAAAAACTACTCTATGATTGTGTTATAGAGTGTCTTAGCCCAGAATGGTTGGGAATTGGTTGAAATTCAGTCAGCAAGTCTTGCCAGTGTTGTAACGTATGCTTAAAACATTTCTCTTTACGTTTTTATTTGTTCCTCTTGCGTATTTAGTCAATGCTGGCTAATATGCTGTCATACCAGTTGACTCCAAGGAACTTTGTAATTTTTTTTTTTATCTTGAAGAGAAGCGCTATATAAATAAAGTCCTACTTACTTGCCTACTCTGAGAGGCTTATTATCACCCCTTGAAACCAAATCCTACCTCATTTTGACTCATGTTCTCATTAGTGCTTGGTTTTGATCTCAATAGTTAGCTTCCTGTGACATGATGCTCCATCTTGTTTTTGTTTCTTTTTTTTTCTTTTGATACATAATCCTCAAATTGTGGCCTGGATTGTTGGAAGTAGTTGCTCTCGAAGGGCATTGTGACCCCAATCTGTTTACTGCCGTCTTGTTTGTCAGAGCTGGGAGTTTAATGGATGAGAAGCAAATCCACAAACAGATTGAATCAGTGTTTCTCTGTTGTGCAATGCAGGGCCCAGAGTGGCTTTTAACATATAAGAAAGCCAGAGTGTAGCTTTGTCGGTTCTTGTCCATCATTTTATTTTATTTTGTTCTTATATTTGGAAAGAAGTGGCTTATTTTGTGCTTTTCTTGACAAACGGTGGTTGTCCGAAGGTTCTTACCTCACCAGTGGCGACATGATGGTGTAGCACATTTCTCAGGAATTAACAGTAGATTCCGTTCCTGGACACCCCTGGATGTTGTTCTCAAATTTTCTAAATGCAACTAAATCTATCACTTTGTGGTTCTGGATGATCAAGAAAACTGTTCTTTAATTGATGTCAGTAACAGGGAGACGGGTGCAAAACAACAATCGCTGCATCATGTTTATTTCTAACACAAGAGGCAGCAGTCAGTCTGCTGATTGGTGAAATTAAAAAAATGATTTCAGCCAATTTGTTCTTTTTTTTTCACAGCTTCATTTCTGTTGATAAATTACTGGTATTCAGTTAACCGTACACACATGCACACATACTTGTATTTCCTGAAACGTGAGGACTTTGTTTTGCGAGTGACTAGCTGGTTACATGAGGAGACACAACTTTCTAAATGAGCTAAAGGCTTGGGTTTAGGCTTGGATTTTTGTGAATCAAGCGCAAACACGCACACACGCAGACACACAAGAACACTCACACGTCATTAGAGGCATTAAGTCAAAGTGCTTTTGGTTAACATACAATCAGGTCCATTTTGTGTCCAATCTGACTGCTGGCTTTTAAGACAGCCGGTCTCCTCATTGCGTCTCAGAGAGACACCGCATCCGCTCAGAGAAATTGAGGGGGCCTTATCTCGTTGGATGGTGGGCGGTTAAAGAAGGTTGTAGTGCGCTGTGGACTGAAGCCAGCCAAAGGCCTTTTGACTATAAAAGCTCATGGAGAGAATTGTTTCTGCAACGCAGCTTGGTAACTCAATGTGACATTTGACTGAAGCCTAAAGGGACTTTTTTTTTGTCTCTCTCTCTTTATGTTTTCACTGACAGTGAAGCCTCTGAGCCAGCTGGAGGGAAGAGATTCAATGTGCTGTTGCACTTTAAAAACCACAGATTACTACAGCTGACACAGTCCTATAGGAACTTAAATGGGGGGTAAAGGGGGAAGTAACATTTAACCCAATTTAGCAGAATTTCATCAATTTCCCCCCCTACATTTTGATGATTTGTGTGAAATTTTCCTCTTATGGGGAGAATGAAAACAACTGATCCTCTGAAGTAATTTCTTGATAGAATTGGCCTCTTTTAAAGCCTTCCTTCATTCTCCGGCAGAGTGGAACATTAAGCTGACAGCTCCCCCAAGAAGGAATAGAGTATGGACGGTGCTGGGACTTGATCGGATGCCTGAGTGAGTCTGGAAGGAGACCAACTCCAGAGAAAACTGCATCAAAAGTCCGGATCAGCACCACGGACAGCGCCGAGCCTCAAGCGGAGCAGATGACAAATTAACAACAAAAAATAATAATAATAATAATAAAAAGAAGGCACAAACAAATAAACAATAGTAAATGACAAAAAATAAATAAATAAATAATAAAAAAAGCAGCTTTGTTTACCTTATGCACCAGATCTTCGTCGTAGCTCGGGGCCGGCGGGGTCTTCGCCTGGTTCTCCGTGTTCTCTCCGGAGCCGTAGCCGCTGTCGGGGTTGATCTCCGGGTATGCCGTCTTGTAGCACGCCGAGATCGGCTCCATGGACTCCATCCGCTCCATCCCGGACGTGCTCTCCCTACGCGCCGCCGCTGAAACGACAGATCCCGCGGAAAACGCCGGAGAGGAGAGGGAGACAGAAACTACGCACCGACCAGAACCTCCCCCCACGCAGCACCGATCAGTGCGCTCCTCCTCCTCCTTAGGGGTGAATCACTTTCTACATCACTTAACATTAAAAAGAAGGAAAAGGAGAAGAGAAGAAAAGACGCGTCGTGATGGTTATCACGCACGACGTTTGACGCGGTGTAACAGCTGGGCGGAGGATGGAGAGAGCAACACACTGAGCTGGATGGAGGTTGTGGATGACTTGAACGTCAGCATGAATGGAGGAGTAGATGCTATGGAAACACCTTCGAGGATTTATTCTGCATAAGGAACGTATTTCCTGAACTCGAGGACCACATAATAACATTGGAAAGGCCTCGTGGAGCTTAAGCCATAAATAATTTGGTCCGCATTGACTATAGTTGGTTGTAGTATTATATCTCATTACAACAATGACATATAATACGATCTCATGATATCAAAATAGTATTATATCAGTATAATCTGGCCTCCCAATCCCAATACCAAGAGAGGTCAAAGCATTCCAAAAATATCTCAATATGTCTCATTGTTTTGAGATTTAATGAGATATATATTGAGCAGTTGTTTCCTGCTATATCTCATTATATAGTAATGAGATATAATGATATACTACAATATTTTATTATGAGATAGTTATCTCAATATGTGTAACTCTCAATATAAGATATTATCTCATAATGAAATATATTGCAATATCTCATAACTCATTACTACATAATGAAATATAGTTTTATATCTCATTATAACAGTCAGATGTTATAATCTGATTGTTATAATGATTATATTGATTGTTATATCTCGTTATAACAATCAGATATTATATCTCATTATAACAATGAGATACTATCTCTATATAATAAGGAAGTTATTTCACAATAACCATCATTATGAGATAGATACTATCTCGATACAATGATAAAGTGTCTCATTATATTGAGATCATATTATATCTCATTTTTATAATGAGATATAATGCTTTATCTCATTATATAATAATGAGACATAATGAGTTTGTACAATATAGGATTTCATTATCATGAGCTTGTATCTCATTTTTGTGAGACACTATCTCATAGTGAGATGGTATATATTTATATTTTACAGAGTGTCCATTTAATTTAATTAGAAATTAAAATAAACCAAAAGTTTGATTGGAGCATACTTGATCACAGTATTAATATCTAAAATATATGTAGGCCTGTCATGATACCAAATTTTGCAGAGGGATTAATTGTCTCAAAAATTATTGCGATAAACGATAATATTGTTTGAAGACCTTTTTACACTGATTTAATGGAAATGATGCAATAATGCATGCCAAATATAGATACACTTTATTTCCAAAAGAACACTTAACACTTGAACTGATAAAACAACCAAAAACAAAAATAAAATGGATTCTCATTCTCTATCCACAAAAAATGTACTTGGATAAAAACTAAACAATATAAAGCCAAAGTGGGAGTAAATACTACATTCAACCAAGAGTGCAGATTATGAAGACTGTTTACTATATCGCCTGGTAAACCCGGTGACTTTTCAGCTGTTCTTCGTTAACGTGACATAAATAGGTTACCATAATTTTAATTCAGTCAGGACTGACACTAGCCACATGCATTGCAGTAAAGCATTGATTAATACATGGTATTATAATGAGTTAACTGGACTTGTAGCCATTATTTACACACCATGTAACAGGCGTTATATTGTTTGGTTCCTAGAGATGAGCAGGTATCACCACAAGGGGGCGCCTATTCCCTTTTTTCTTTGTTCTATTGTGCAGAGTGAGAACTCCTGTCGAGGAGATGATCTGTGATGATGAGGAGCAGTAACTGTCGTTACTTTTCCCATATATGAGACTATAATCTTAGTACCATGGAAATCTGGCTTTAAATGGACGAAGCTAAATAAAGTGAAAGTGTGTAAAACTTCAACATTGCGTCCTGCTGTTTTGGATTAGAGTGGCTAACCGCCATTGCTAACTCCTTCTCCAACCTCTCGCCGCACCGTCACAACCACACGATCGAACCGTTATACCTCGTGTTTCTGTCGGCTAACGTGTGGGCTCTCAGGTTTTGAAAATGAGCCGACAGCTTTAAGATCGTCAGTGTGTTCTGGGCATTAAGGAAATGAAGAAGGGAGGGTCAGTGGAGAGCACCGGAGTTTAGCCTTTTTCATTCAGTCATCAACAGAAGGAGAAAAAGCCCGGAAGAAACGATATAGCCGATAACTGAAATGAGGTGTTTAATTTATTGTGCGATTCATCGATTTATTGTTTATCACGACAGGCCTAGTTATTTATTGTCTTCACTCTTCTGTTGTTGTTGTTGTTGTTTTTTTTTTTGGCTTCTTAAATCCTAGGATGTTTCGTATCTTTCTCCAAATTGAAAGCTTCGATTTCTTCTTCTTTCCTTCCTGCATGGCATTAATGTCTGGATTCTCCAAATCCTGCAGGATGCTTTCTTCACTGATCTTATCTTCTGGGGATTCCAGATCCGTCGAACAGCCTGGCAATGTTTCTCTTGATATATCCTCCTCCGAAGAAACCTCTTGACTGAAATCCGTAACCGGGTCGACCTGGTTCTGTTCCTCCTTCTGTTGGAAAACTGTGGTTTGTTTTGGTTGCAGATCTTCTTCCTGGGCAGCAGTTGATCTTTGGCTCTTTCCAAGTCATGTTTCATGTTACTTATCTCTCGCTGGTACCGCGCTGCCTGTTGTTTCAACGTATTGACATCGTTTTCGTAACGATACTGGAGCTCCTTAAACAAATCTTTGACAGTCTCCAACTCAGCCTGGGCTTTTCTTTCTTTCTCTTGGAGGAACTGGATCTCTCGTCTCGTGTTTTCATGTAGGATGCCGTTCTCCGCTCTCAGGCTGCTGATTGTCAGTCACTCTTTGTAAGGAGGCCTCTTCCTCCTGTCTAACTTCCTGTTGATGCCTTTCCAAGTCTTCCTTCACTCCAGCAACATCAGTTTCATATTTACATTTGAGCTCATTGTATGATTTTTTTTTTGCTCTCATTCAGATCTTTCTGTAAAAGCTTTGTGCTGTCCTGCAGAAATTCAATCTCTTGTCTTGATTTGTCTTGGAGGACAATGATAAAGTGTCTCATTATTTGAGATCATATTATATCTCATTTTTATAATGAGATATAATGCTTTATCTCATTATATAATAATGAGACATAATTTTTCTCTTGAGTTCTCTGTATATCAAGCTTTTCAAACTGTTCTTTCAAGGCAGAATAGTTTATTTCATGGATGGGTTTCTCTTTCCTTTCTTTGGAAAGAGCAGCTTCCTCCTGCTTTATCTTCTGTTTGTGTGTCTCTGCCTGCTGCTTTAACTCCTAAATTAATTGTAATCCTTCATTTGATGCACGTTTGCGCTCATCCAGTTCTTCTTGCAAACGTTTTTCGCTGTCTTGCAGGAATCTGATCTTTTGTGCCATCTCTTGAATAATTTCATCCTTCTCTGCTCTCAGCTTCTCCAGGCTCCGTTCCTCATTAAGCTTCGCTTCATCAGTAGTTTGTTTCTTGGCCTCCTGCCTCACCAGACCAACGTCTGCTTCGTATTTAGAGCGCTGCTCCTCGTAGGAAGCCTTCAGCTCGTCCAGTTCTTCTTCAAGGGCCGTATTTCTCTCCTTCTCATCATGTATTTCTGCTACCATGGCTTCCTGGCTATGGGAATGAGCCACCTTCAAATCCTCAAATTGTTGTTGTAGCTCCTCTTTCTCCATGTCTTTAACGTCAAAGTGAGCCTGGCAAGCAGTGGCCACGGCTTTAAGTACTTCAGGATCAGTGAATCTCTGCAGTCTCTTTAGTTCTTCTGTTGCTCTGTAGGCCTGGTTGAAAAACCCCACTTTGAGATCCATCTTCTTCTGTAACTGGAATTTGGTCTCTTCCAGCTCCTCCTCCAGGAAGGCCAGTCTTTGGTTGTGGTGTCTTTCTGTATGTTGAGACATTTTCCTTTCAATACAATCACTAAAGTCGTCGATTACTAAACTAACTGAACGGTCGATCGGAAAGAGCTTTGCGGGCATCTGAACTGGTCAGTGGTATTGCAAGCAATGACAAATTTGCCATTGCTTGCAAATTTGCTTGCAAGCAAGGGATCTTTCCCTTAAATAATGTGCAGATCAGGTAATATTATGATCAAGAATCCTGCACAGTAACATTAATCCCGTATATCAGGGAGGTCAAACTCATTTCCATTTGGGGCCTGATCAAAAACCGGAATGTTCTTAAAGGGCCTGTTGGGCCAGAACGTATTGATAAACAGATGCAGCTGACACGGCGCAACCCGAAGTCCAGCAGACATCGGAGAGGATATGTGGAAACATGAATGTTCATTCAACATTTTGTGCAAAGAAAATCGAAATAACTCGGGGAGGAGTTGGAGTGAAATTTCTACCAGAAAACCCGGTAACTAGTTCCTCCTGAACACAGCATGATGTATTGCGAGCCGTGTGATCTGTTGTTTTGATCGCTACTATGATGCTTCCCCTCTGTCTGTGTGCGCTTCCAGCAGCTTCCACTAGAGTTTGCAAAAGACTCAGCTTCTAACAATCTATGTTTTATGTGCCAGCCCAGCATTGGAGCAGGAGACGCACCCTCCCTCTTTCTCTCTCTCTACACGGGGTTAATATTTACTCACTGGCTCAGGACGGGTAGTTAAAAAAAACAAACAAACATAAAGAGAGTTCTCTTTGCAGTTCAAGTGGAAAGCAAGGAGTCATTTGAAAGAGAAGTTGATGTACGCAGGGAAAAACCTCTGACTGAATACAGAAACTGAGAATATATTCCTTTTTTTTTTTGTTTGTTTTTCTAACTTCTGGCTCCAGAAGGGTCTCCTGCCATGGATCCGTTCCTGCTGACTGTCGTCCTGGGTTCAGGTATGGCATTTGTCTTTGACTTGTTTGTGCGGACTTTGAGGAGAAAACCCTGTCATTCGCCGGATCATTTTGTACACAGTTTTAGACCATCTTGCCGTAAACTAGAAAACGAGACTTGTTTGAGTCTGATCATCGGCTTGAACAAGTTTGCGTGTGGATTTGGCTATCTGCCATACACATTTGTTTGCATACAGGCAAAAAAAAAAAAAGAAAATGTTGCAGCATCATTTAATTTAATTTTGTGTTTTCTTTTGTTGCCTAAGTTTACAAACTTTTTCTCTGAAATTTCTTCAAACCAAGGAAGTAATTGTCCCCACATTGGATTTTACTGAAGTGTTTGCAAACTCTTAAAGTGAGACAGTCTTCCTTCAAGTCCAATGCTTCTACTATCAGGAATTTTGTGTTTCAATAATATGTTAATATTACAAAAATTGTATTATTGCTGCTTACATTTGTGAAGCACACCAGATCGACTCCGTGGAGGTAAAAGTGATGCACTGTGAAAACATAAAATATTGCATCGTAGCCTTGTTTTAAACCATCACTGACTCCGACCTGCAAAGTGTCTCTTCCTGCGTGATACGTTAACCACAGACTTCCACTGCTCACACGAATCTTTAAAAATAAGTCACAGCCACTTTAAGATGCTTTTCCTTAACCCTGGACCCACCAGCAGTGTCTTTGTTGTATGGCGGTTTAATTATCGACGTATCGTAATGAGCAAAAACAGATTTTCTCATCACAATACGCGGAAGTAACAAAATGGAAGCACGCACACTTCATAACGCAGACACACAAAGGCAATGAGCTAAAAAAAGCAAAACAAATGCAAACAGCCTAACACCAACATGAGTCTCAACCAAAAATACGAAAAGAACAGAAGCTGATACAAAAATCCCAGGAGGAATTTTCTTTCTTGCACCCGATTTCTCCACACAAATAAGTGATCTGAACTGTCATATCATAATGATGGTTAGAAAAAAAATGAATTCAAGTCTTTTAATTACACTTTATCTGCACTCTTTGTGCAAATGTTAATGAGCAAGATTCACAGTCATGACATCTATTTAAAAAGTCTTGTAAGTTAATGTGACTAAATGACGTGGAGGAATATTTTCCTGTAAATGTAGAAGCATATAACTCTAATAAGATCTCATAAATTTGCTCAGAATCATCCGGACCTGTATTCTTTCAAAGTCTAATAAAACTTTAACCAGTTAAAGGGATGACTCATTCTGCCATCTTTTAGAATCTGCGACGGTGCTGTGAAAAATGAAAATAATAATAATAATAAAAAAAAAGTAATTCAGCGCGTTTTTAAAGGGTGACTTCATTCATTTAGCTTCCTGTTTTCAAATTTCATGATCCCATCTGGATTTGCTGTCCTGGTGGATGAGGAAAACACAACTCCGACCTCCACCTGCTTACTCGGCGCTATTTGCACATGGTGCCGAAATGAGGCACGCAGAATATGAAAACCCTGACAGATGAAATCTAAGAAACACAATAGTTAGAGCTGCAACAGAGTGGAGCGTCCTGTGGTTGAGCCGCATCGCTGCCTTCTCTATGTGGACTGTTCTTGCCTCATCTTTCTGTATTTCAGCTGAACCTGTTTCTTTGTGTTTCTCCTTGACCTCAGGGTCATGTGCAGCCTTCTGTCTGGTGATCCTGCTGCTGGTGGTGGTGCTCTACAGAAAGGATCTGCTTTGCTGCAGACTCAGGCCCTACAGGACACAGGAATATGCAGTAAGACTCACCACTGGCTGCACACCACACCGACTTTGGTTGTGCAATGAGATAAAAAGGCAATTAAACTTAAAGAGTAAAGTTTAGCGGTTTGACACCGTGGAAACAGAATTTTAGAGCTGCTCGTCGTCAACATGCTCTGAAAAAGCAGTGTCATATTCTGACTCAGTTTATTGGTGGCAAAATCTAGTACTAAGAGCAAAAGTGGTCATGATTGCCTTCATGCAGTAGGATTTCTTTCCTGGTTTACATCAATATTAAATGTGAAAGGAATATCAGCACATTTTTCTTTTAGTTAAAAATATATTGACAAATGTCAAATTCATTGCGATAACCTTGATTTGTTTTTTCATCAACAGATGTCAGTCATGACGGTGCATATTTACAAAAAAGAAACACATTTTAGTTCTTCCTTATGAGAATGTCATTCAAATCTTTCTTTAGAGCTAGTTTTTGGGCCAAGGGTCCAAGAGCAATGATTTTTTTTAAAGTTAAAAATTTAAATCGTTGCAGATAAAACATGCAATTCTGTGACACCAGAATTACAGTTAATAAGAGTTGTGTTCAATTAGTAAGACTTTTTAAATGCATTGCAATCTCAGGCACCGGCGTCCGGCACTCCTGAAAACTTAAGAGTAGTGCGAATAAGTATAAACATAAAAAAAAAAGGATTTAAAAAAGGGAAGAATTCTTAATTTAATATCAGAATCCTGACTTTTTTATTTCCATTTTGACTTTAAAGTGGGAATTCTGCAAAATTGTCATTTTAAAACTGCTTTGGGGGATTTACAGTGAGAAAAAAAAGTGTGGAAAAAAAAAATGTGTGTGTGTTTCCTTTTAACTGCACTTAGAACATTTATGGGTCTCTTGTATCTAATCTTGCTGTGGGTTTGAACTTCATTCCCAGAATGACCTGCCCCAGTACAGCAGCAGACACTCTCTCATCGGCATCGCCCACCGTGAGCACAATGCCGTCTTGAATCAGCGAGCGATGGGATCACAGGTAGGATTCTTAAAGAAAAAAACTAAAAACAAAACATAAACAAAAAAAAAAAAACAAACACTCTGCATGAGAGCTGAAGATGAAAATGCCTCGTTTGGTTTCTTCTCTGATCGTGCTCGCTCCTCAGCTTCCTGGAACGCTGTTCATCGTCGGAAAGCCAAGCGACTACCACCTGACGGGCCCGCAGCCACGACTGCCGTCTTACGAAAGCGTGCGGAAGATGGACCGCCAAAGACAGATCCACTGCATGATTGCTCGGCGCTTTGGCCTGGGTGGCAGCCACGATGAGGTAAAGTCCTCTGGCTCTCCACTTTTAAAGAATCAGTGGCCACTTTATTAGGCGCGCCTGTGGGGAGAGGCCTTTTTATGGAGCGGCTTTAACGCTGCACCCATCAGCAGCAGGTCTGGTTATTAAGGAGATTCTCTCCCCAGCAGAACCAGCAGTGTGCGTGACACATCGGAGTCTGTCATCACCAGGAAATGTGACCACGATAGGAGTGGCTTCAACATAAAAGTCAAAATTTTACACTGTCAACCGTAAGGAAATGAATCTGAGAGTGATGAATGGACAGCAGTCAAATATAATCGGATTTATAATCGGATTTAAGTAACTTTGTTGAAGTGAAAATGAAAAACACTGCACGCATTTACGGTTTTACATAAACGGCTGATATATTGGGGGTGTTTTACACACAAAAATTTCTCAGTTCTACAGAGAATTGTCAGAGAAAGAGGAAATATTGTCAATGTATTTGAATGATAGTTGTGCGTGATGAAAATGCCTTCCTAATGCCAGAGGATAGACCAAGATAATTATCACTGGTTATGATTGCGTTGTGCAATCATAACTCTGATTGCACAACGCATGAAGTCTTGAAGCACCACCGTTACAGCCACCCTGATTAGCTAAAAACAGGAAGCTGAGGCTGTGGTGGCTTCCATATCGACTATCTATGGTCTGCTTTAAAGGAACCAGAGTTCGTTTAATCAGATGTAAAAAGCTCGTCGGAGCACGCAAACTCAAGCCCGCCTGAAAATGTATCCTCACTTTCAAAATGAAAACGGATTATGAAGCACACCAAAGAGAACAAGTCAAACCAAAACAGAAAACGTGAATTCTCTCGCCCAATCAAACCGAGTCCACCAGATAGAAGAGTCGGAATTTGGCATAAACAACAAAACACGATGGAGTCATCCTGCCTTTGCATCAGCTTGGTTGGGATGGTGCGATAGCTTTGTGGGTTTTTTTCTTGCAATTCTTAGATCTAGACCCATTTAGTTAAACCCCACAACCTGCAACTGTATGAACTATGTCCGTCCCTCTAAGGCGACAGTGTGGCATCATGATGCGCAAAGTCACAAAGATCAAATCATTACCATGTGCTTTTTAGGGTACGGTAAATTACGAAAATAAATTTGCTTAACGCAAACACAGCAGTTTTTGTTTTTGTTTTAAACTCACGTTCTTCAAAAATACATTTTTGGTGGTTTTTTTTAACAACTTATCACGCGAACAAACTTGCAAACGTGTTATTCTAATTGCCTTTCTGATTTAATGTAGTTTTGAAATTGTGAGGTTTTTTGACACCAGTGGAATATCGACAACATCTTGTGCACATTTGCAGTTGAAGTGCTCCTACACATATACAGCCAGCGAATCTGCAGCCACTGACCAACATTTCTTTTTTCATTTTTACAGTGTTGAATGTGTGACATGACAAATTCAAATTGTTCTGAAGGCAAAATCTATTGCTGGCATTGTGTATCTAATAAAGTGGCCAGTGGTTGGATAACACATATTTTGCTCTGATATTTCATTAACCCAATTTGTAGACATCACATAATTTATTACTTTTTTTTTTGTCTTATTTCGTTCCAGCCACCACCAACTTACGAGGAAATATTTTATTTCAATCCACAAGCTTCTCCAACCAGCCATCAATCTTTGGACGTTCACCCGTCCATAGATGCGTCACACTCGCGTGAGGACACACGTGGCACAGAGGCGCAGAGTAACGCGTCTGTCTCCCTGACGGGCAAAGAAGACCCCGGCTGCCAAGACGTTTCTCCTGTTTCTGTTAACTGAACGGCGGTTTGAGTCAGAGCTGACGAATTTGTTCAGTTCTTGGAAGTATTCGTGTGATAGTGACTCTGACTCGAGCCTTGTGCTCCTGCAGCCCGACCCGAGCACGACTCTGCTGCCTTTTCGCTTCTTCAGAGGGCGGTTCCAAACGAGCCTGACAGACACACGATGATTAGTAAAAGGGCACAAACCTTTGCTGAAGGTGCCGGCCTTGTTTTCTAAAGTAAAAAAAAAAAAAAAATTGAGTAATTAGAAAAATTTCAGAGCCACAAGTTCACAAAGATTCTTCACAATTCAGCTAAAAAGAAACAATTTTGTCAGATGGACGAAAAAAAAGAAAAAAGAAATCTGTTGCTATAAGTGCATATGGAAAACATTTGATTTCACGGGCCTTTTCTGCATTCACTCGTCTTGGTTGCTGTATTAACATTAATCATAGGAAATCTGATGATGAGTTGAGCAGTGGATGCTGGATTTTCTCAACTTTGCTCATAAATTGTCACTGATAAATGCACTTGGTTTATTTGGCAGTTCAACAACCCAAAGCACACCAGCAGGTCCTCCTCCGAAATGCTAATAAAAACCCAAATGAATGTTTTGCAGTGGACTAGTTCAAGTCTTGGCTTTGATCCAACTATGACGCTGTGGAGTCATAGTTAAACAGGCCGTTAATGGAAAACCCTCCAGAGTGACTGACCTGAAAGCAATAATGAGCGAACTACATTCCTGAGCAGTGACTTATTACCAGTTCTTACAAAAGCTCTACATCCTATGAGATGACAAATAGCTAAATTGTGCGTTTTTCACAACACTCAATGTGAGATCGAGCATACAAACGCTGAAAAGTCTGTTATTAATTTGCTCTGATATTATAATGCAATGTGCTTCAACTCATCCGGTTTTATGCAATTTTCATCACTGCAACTACAGGATTTTTTTTTTCCGTCCACGAGTGTTAAAGTATTCGCTCCCCCTCCGGCTCCTTCAGAATAGCCAGCAACGATTAGCAAACACCTGGTGAAACTGGACGTTAAGTCGAGCTCATCCTTAGAGCTGCTTCTCAATGAAACGATGGTAAAAAATGCTGTTAAAGGGTTAATAGAGGAGCACTGTTGTGGTGAGTTGCTGAAGGTGGAGTTTCAGAAAGAGCTGGAGTTTTTAAAGAGACAGAGGCCCAATTTTAAGGTGTTAAATTACAAAGTCAAATTTCTACTAAGTCATATTGATACATGTAGAATTTTTATAACAACTGAAGGCAACATAGTTACTTGATTGTGCTATGAAATGGCTCTAGGTTGCAAAAATAATCTCATCTAATAATCTAATCTGGTCTTTCACCAGGAGTTTATCCAAGAGTTCCTAAAAGGTTTAACAGTAACTCACATCCTCCAAGGCTGGTTGTAATGTTCAAATATTGGCTTTCTCAGTCCTTTTACTGATGATGGCTGTTTGAATATCAAAAAGCATTTTAAAGGAATTTAGTTTATTCCTTAAGACAGGTTTCTTTAAGGTAAATCATCATGTCAAGATGAGATGACAGATGTTCTGTTATCGATCCACTCTTAAGATTCTTAGTGAAGACGCAAAGTGTTAGGAGCTTTGTGTCATCCAGTCCAGCTTTATACCAATAATGCCATGAGTTATGTACGTGCCTGTCATAAACTCCATAAACTCTGTTGTCAAAGCATGTTGACTTGGGTTTTTTATGGAAATGTGCCATGAAACGAAGCCAGTCCGGTTGGGTCTTGTTTGCCAAAACTTTAACACGGTTGGATTCATTGGTCACTGTTAAAATAGGGAAGGCATGGCAGGACAGAGTTACTCTTTAACCGGGGTCAAACATTCACCAAAGGAAACCACAAAACGACTGAAGGGACATACGATGCCTTGCCATGGCAAACATACGAGCCTTTTAATCATTTTGTCAAGTTGCAACCACAACGTCCAAAGTATGTTACTGGTGAAACGAAGGTCAGAATTCTGATTTGGTATTCAGAATTGTTTGTTTTTAACATAATCTGAAAAGTGTGTCATATTTGCACAGGTCAATACTTTGCAGAAGCACATATTGCAGCAAAGACAGCAGCAAGTGTTTTTTAAGAAGCTGGTATATCTCTACCAGCTTCTTACATATGGAGAAACAAAAATCTTGTACATTCTCTCCATATTTTGCCATAGATTTTCAATTTTACTCAGGATCTGAGCTTTGACTATGCCAATCTAGCAAATGAACATCCACTCATGTTAACCATTGCAGCTCTGGTAGTATTTTCAGTGTCTTCCTTCTACAAACTGAATTTATACCTCAGTCTCTTGTCTTTTGTCAGCTTCTAACAGATTTTCCCCAGGACTGTCGTGTGTTTACCTTAAATCCGTCCTTCCATTGGATTTCATCAGTTTCTTTCCCCCTTGCAAAAGAAAAGGACACCGCCATGTATCACTGTCGGAATACCGTTTTCAGGGTGATACACATGGTTAGTTTCCTTTCCTCGTTTCAGGAAATGGTTATTGTGAAACTTTAACTGGGCCTTCTTCTGGCTTTCTTGCCGCTCAACAGTGAAGGTCATATTTGTGGAGTCCACAGCTAGTCGATGCCCATTTGACTGATTCTCTTGCATGAGCCTCTGCAGGGCCACAAGTTTGCAGTTGTGACCAAACTTTTTCCATTTTCCAGGTAATGGTTTGAATGAAACTGTCCTGCTTTAAACTTCTAGTTCATTTTAGATCTTTTGTTTCAGACTTGTGTTGCTCCACCAGAGAAAAAAACGCCTTGATTTTATGGCTCTAAAGTCATTTACAAGGCTTTGTATCAACAAAAAGGTTTGTATTTCTTCCAGTCAGAAGAAACGCGTTGGCTAATTTTTTCAAAATCTACTTTCAACCTAAATCTGGACCCACAGAGCTGAAACAGCAAAAAGTTAATAATATAAAGGAAATTCAGATTATTATGTACAGATACAAACCATACTGTGGGTCACAAAGTGATCTACAAGTTTCCAAAGAAGAACACGAAAACAGTATGTGGGATACTCCTCCCATAAATCATTCCTTTTTTTCCCGTTAACGATGGCATTCAACCTCCCTGCTTTACACCAAGCCTCACCCACACTCCCTCTGCATACCACCGTCTTCAGATAACTGCTGCTTCACCCCCCCTCCAGCTTCTGGTGAAAGCTCGCTCCGAGGCAAAATACCATTTGATCAATCAGCTGTTGCGTTCTTCGCTCAGTTTCTGAAGCATGTAAAGATTGAAATCTGAAAAACAGCTTCAAACTCTCAACTTTACGAACCAGCTTACAGTTTGCTGTGAAGTGGTGAGTGTGTGACGCCTCCTGGCCAGTATGGGGAATGCAGCTTTTGGAGGCAATGTTTGGGTGAGGATTATTACTGGGAAAAAAAAATCAAGAACCAAGAAGAAAGACACACTTAAATCAACAAATACTTAATGAAATAAAGACGGTGTGGTTAACAAAAGCAGTAGTAACATTCTAAAAATCACCAGTTTTTGGTCTCTGGATGGGCTGAATATTTCTAAAAGTAGACTTACAACATATTTGTTCAGTTTTTGACAGTAAAAGGAAAGAAATGAGTACATTGTGAATTAAAGATCGTGCGACACCTGGTGGCCAAATGAAAGAATGCAGATTCTTTAAAATCAAAAACTCCTGACTTTAACTCCACCAGAGAAAACCTGCATTGACTAAAGAAAAAAAAAACACACAAAATAAATAACACTGCCATCCAAAAAGATAAAAATAAAGCAAACTCTTTCAGCATTAATACTTTTACTTATAAAACTTTATTACAGAAGACGATCTGTGTCATGTAACTAATCTATCTCATGTACAACAATCTGTGATTTTCAGGAACTATTATAAATACATTAGCGACAGACTAACTCCACTTTCTTTAATGAGAATTAGTTCTGAATGCAACAGGAGATGTATCAAGGCGACACTGAAGAAGGCTCAGTTAATCATGTTCAGCTTTATGAGGAGTCAGAATGGAGCTGTCAGAAGCCAGGTTCAGAGTCATTTCAGTCCACTGACTTTTCTGTTTTCTGCCTAAAAGAAAGACACAAAGTCCTCGTTGCACTCCAGCTCTTTCAGACCAGGTCCACGAGTTTGAATTTGCCCTCCTGCTTCACTGGCATCACGTTGATGAAGGTCTTGTAGAGCACGGCTCCTTTCGGCAGCTTGGTGATGACGCGGGTGACCTCAGGGTTTCGGGGCGGTGGGATGTAGACCTCCTTGGTGAACCTGATGTGGCCGTCCTCCAATGCGAAGAGGGTGTTGTTGGTTCCCATGCCAACCTGCAGGACAATCATAAAACACCAACGACACATCAAAACTCTCCAACTCGATGCAAACTGCGGGTCAATGTTACGTTTAATGTCATAATGAACTACTTCCTGCACAGCATACGATAGCAGATCTCAGAGCAAAACAAGTCACTGTGACAACATGGTTTCTATAAGATTTTTAAGAATAATATCATTTAATCAATCCAAACTTTTTTAATAATTACCTAGTTTATTTAACTATTAAATATCTCTCGAGCTGAATTAGCATTGAAATGTAATCTCTACATCCCTGGATAAAAATAAATAAATAAAAAGCTTACTCACATGTGCTCCAGGGTGATACCTCAACTTCCTCTGTGTTGCAAGGATGTTCCCAGCATGTACAAAGTTGCCTTAAAAAGAACATAACACAAACAATGATCAACACAATGTGGACTGGATGCTTTGTAGATCATTTCAGAGCTTGCAGAGGTGTTCAGACGGGGGCTAATATTACCGTCCACTTTCTTAAAGCCGAATCTCCGGCCAGGGCTCTTCCCTCCCAGGTTTTTTGAGCTGCCTCCGGCCTTCTTGGAAGCAAACCTCACCGAGTCCAGCAGACAAGACTCATTGGAAACCAGAAGACCTAAAAACCAACACAACAGAGACGTTTGTGGACGGCTAGACGCGACAGAGACTGCCTGAACTGGTTTGAGTGTCGTTTTAACTGACTGTCCCCAAGCAGAGGGATAACTAGCTAGGTCAGCAAACAAAACGCTGTGCTAACAGGGAAAAGCTAACTCCAACGAAAGGACAATGGACACGAATGTTCGCTTTTTTAAAATTATATTAAAATGCAAGAAAGTTGTTATAATTAACGTTAAGTTGTTTCGTACCTGCTCTGGACTTCAACATCAAGGACGCCACAGCTGCCATTTTGAATTGAGTCATCAATACGCAATATCCTGCGCGTCGTATCCGTATCCTGCTGCTGCGTTCAGGTACCTTGTACAACGTGCGGAACAGCACTCACGATTATATCAAACCAATGTCCAGATGCTCTTATGTTCATGCCGACGCATTGTTGTATCTGCCCGAGTCACCACTAAATCATTAGATTTGTTGTGACTATAAATCACTCTAATAATAAATTTACATGAATCTAGTCAAGCTAGGTGGAATGCTGTCAATTTGTATGTTTATAATTTTTGCCAAGTCAAGCAAAAATTATTGTAATGCTCGTCGTTTTGTGGGCAATCTTCTCTTCCAATATATCAAATGCTTGTTCCCCAGTTATGCCTCACTGAAGAACTATGTACATATTTATTGTAATAACTTGAATGATGCAAAAGTGTAACTTACAGCATAAACGCTGGAACAAGTGTCTGTATATTTTTTCTTTTCTTTTTTTGTGATGGTTTCGTTCTTAAACAAAAAAAAACAAAAACAAAACAAAACTGAATAAATCGCCACTTTTAAGCAATTTGAGCCAAACAGTTCGGATCAATAATAATAATAATAATAATAATAATAATAATAATAATAATAATAATAATAATAATAATAATAATAATTAGCGCAATTCCCATCATTAAAAGCTCTGTAGTCCGACTGTCAGTGAACGCAACAAAACCCGGGGAAAATCAAACAGCGCGTCACGCGCCACCCAGCTCACGATGATGTAAGTATCTACAAGAGCAAGCTGCGTTTGGCCGTTGGAAGTTTGTTCAGTGTGTGTTTAATTCCTCCCGTCTTGGAAGTTGTCAGCAGCAGTAGCGCGGCTGACGTCTGAGCGTGTGACGCCGGCTGCCTTTTTGTCGTGTAAATTGAACTCGGCTTTCCGTGTGTTATCTGTCGTTTTGTCTTTCGAAGGAATTTTTTTTTTTAATGCCGCGCCAAACCCAATTTAAGAAGTAATTTCTTTCTTTGTTGAGAGCCCTTTTTAGGTGCCGGGAATATGTAGCTGGAAGTTAGGAATCCAATTATTTCTGCAGCGACAGATAACGTCACACCAAGAGACTTTGTGTAATGGTTCCCCCTTATCTTCCAGCGCCAGAACAGGCTGCTAGCAAAGCTCTGTCTGAAACCAAAAGCGGGTTCCGGTTGTTGCCTAATTTACCAGCGAACTCGGAACATGTTGATTGTTTGAGCTATTTGTTTGTCTCACATTTTTCGTCTGGTAAACACTAAATGTGACAATTTTCCCAAGAAGTCTGGCGAGGGGTTAAAATCAAAGACAAGAGAAACAGAACAAAACGCACTTTCCTAACTGATGATGGTGACGGTTTGTGTTTTCTGTCATCATGTGTAGTGATTCACCTCCACGTGAGGACCTGAGAAGCAGCAGTGACTCAGACGAGGAGCTGCCTGTGTTTGATTTCCTCCAGCCTCATCCAAGCACCGATATTGCCTCCCAGAGAGCCCCACAGAAACCAGAAGTGAACAACTTCAATGGCAAAGCTGCTGCCTTCTCCGGTTCGGTTCTCGGTAACTGTGGATCGGCTGATGTCATGACGATCAGCAGCGATTCTGATGACGACGTGCCGTACGTCCCCCTGGCACAAAGGCTGAAACTGAGACAGGACAGCGCTGTCCTCACCGAAAGAAATCAAAAAGGCTCTGCAGAGTCCATGCACCTCCTCACATTGCACAAGGAGAGAAGGTCGACCCCAGAGGAAGCGGATGCCCTCCCCCTGAGGCATCTCTCCGCATCCGAGACCGGAGACGCGTCTCCCACCGGGACGAAAGCCACAAAAAGGTCGGCGAAGGAGATCCGGGCCTCCAGGGAGGATGCTCTGAGGAGACAGCAGGCCAGAGAGAGACAGCAGCAGGACAGGGAGGCGCTCAAGCAGGAACAAGAGAGGCAGAAAGCGGAGAGAAGAGCTCTGGCTGAGGCTGCCAAAGCCCTGAGGCCAGAGGAGTGCATCAAGCATATGGTTGTAGCTGTTGATCCAGGTGAAAGAAGAAAGAAAACTTAAAAAAAAAACAACAAGAATGATACAGATTCATTAGAAAGCAGCTCAGCTAAGTTATTTTCTTCTTTTGCAGCTCTGTTGCAGCTGGAGGGAGGGGGAACTCTGCTGGCGTCTGTGCAGGCTCTGGGTTGTAGCTGCGCCATAGAGAAACAGCCGGTGCCCCGCAGCGTGACCTGGGCCAGGCAGGCTCCAAGCGCACAGGTTCACAAAACGACCCCCAGTCTAGTTAAGAAAACGCAGCGCAGTCCCAGCCGGGGCCAGTCCTTTATTCTGACGACTAACTGCAAAAAGAAGCAGTGGCACAGTGGGGGGAATGTTTTTCTTTTAACCACTTATTTTATACATTATCAAAAATAATGTATAAAATTATAACTTGGCTTGCAACTTGTCTCATCAGATGTTTACATTTATGTTTCAGTCATCCATTGTCCATTTTGGAATAAAGTTTTATTGTTATAATAAATGTGCTCCCGCTGTTTTGGCAGAACGATGCGTCGCGTGCTCCAGAGCCCCACGTTGTGATGCAGATGACGGTGGAGGACTTCGTCACTCTGATTCACAACTACATACGAGTGAGTCGGCGTCCGGACTTGCAAAATGTTGAGAAAATGCTGGAAGCCGAGCAGAAGAATTTTTGAAAAATATTCTAAGATCATTACACAAAGTAAACCCTTCGAAACGAGCTTTAACTTTCTAAGCAAGGCTGTAAGCTCCACCCGTAGAAACGGTAAATATCTCCCAAGAGCGACAATTTTTCTACAATAAGCCTTCTATCTGTTTTGATCTGCCTGTTCTGTTCGGAGAAGCGAACAGGCTGAAACGAATATCTCCCCCTGCCCCGTGTAACCCAGGAGGAGAGGCACAGCGGGTCAGCCTGCAGTCCCACCCTCACATCGTGGGTCCAGGAGCAGCAGAGGCGGCACCCCGACAAACGGCTCAGCCTGGCAGTCATCGGGCTGGAGAGCTATTTCAGGTGAGAACGCCTCAGAGAACGAAGGAGCCTCATTAAACTGCAGGCGTGACGGTCATACGTCGTTTTTAATTCACTCGAACTCGGTGAATGCATCACCAAATAACTTGACATTAGAGGAGAAAAGAATTAAATAACTAGTTGAGTCTGTTGCTTCAATTGTAGTCCCTTCCTGTAGCTGTTAACTTGAAACAAAGGCAAATTCTTTATAGTAGGATTATTTCAGTGCTTCTCAATTATTTTCCGTTACGCCCCCCTAGCAAGAAGAAAACTATTCGCGCCCCCATTCCCCACCGTGACTATCCATCTCTGCATAACATTTTTTCCTTATTAACATTTTTTTCGCTGAAAAAACTCTAGCGGCTTATCGGCGTGATTGAGATGTAACGTATTTAAGTGACGCGCTAATTTATTTGGCTTCATGCTGTCCGCTGCGAGCATTTTTAGACACAGCAAACACACCGGTCTTTCCTCTTCTCCAACTGTAGTCACAGTGAAGCCAAGCGCTAAATACGCTTCGTCGTATTTCCTCTTCTTAGCTTTCGGTTGACTTTCTGTTGTCTCATTATCTTTGTCTCTCTATGCTTTTCTTTTTATCCCTGTGAAAAACTTTTTTGTGTTGGGGGTTGTTGAATAACGGAGGCCATAGACAGAACGCAGTCGGAGCTTTTTGTTGACTTAACACTGCTAACCAAGGCAAACCTGTTGTCTTGTAAGTCATAAAATGTTGCACTGTCGCAAACGTGACAGAAGTAACAATGAGAGCGCCACTGCCGCCTACTGTGCGCAATTACACTTTATACTAGTACAGCCAAAAAAAAAGCCTGTTCCCCAGGATCACACGCCCCCCCAGGTATCGCACCGCGCCCCCCAAAGGGGGCCCGCCCCACTATTTGAGAAGCACTGGATTATTTGAAGAAAATAATTAAAAACAGTGGAGGTCAAAAGCAGAATCAACACCTTTTCCGAGAGTCAGAAATCGATGCTGGCTCTCTTGTTTGGCTACTCGCATCACGACCTCAGTGTTACTACTATGAATCATTTACGGAATGCTGGCTGCTTAGGGTATCCTGTCAATCATAAAACTGAAGCCCACTTTGATGTTCTCAGGGCCCGAAAGTCTCAGAGCCAGAAGAGGCTCAGAGCGGCCGTGGCTGGGGAAGAGGCAGGAGGAGGAAAAGAGAAGAAGAAACAAAGGAACAGTCAAGCCGAGAAACTGCCGGAGGTGTCCAGAGTTGAAGTGGAGGAGGTAGGTTGGTCATCCCACCCCCACCCCCCGGAGAGGACAATGAATAATAACGATGTCATAAATTGAAACGAGAAGAGAAAAGCTAAAACAGGCTTTTAAAAAATAAAAAATGTACCTTGAAAACAAATGCAGCACTAAAAGTCTTAAATAACCCATTGTTAAGACGAACTAGTCAACAAATGAATTTTGTTTTTTTTTCCTCCCCCTTTTGAAGTTGCGTGGTTTTGAAGGTTGTTGAGTAGTACCTGCCTTGCTTTTGCGTCATCTGGCTGTTTATTTATTTATACATTTTTGTCAGTCAGCTGCAGATATCTGTGTTGCTGCACATCATTGCATGGTTTATTATATAATCTGCTCCCAGAGAGAAAAAGCAGGTAGACAAAAACAGTAAAGAAGACCAAACGCTGGAGCTAATTATAACATTTAAAGTACAGTGAAAAACCTGCATGCTATAGTGTTTGGTTAAGTTCAATATATGGTGTTATAATGGGTCATATACAACAGACCAGTGCAGACAGCTAATTATTTGAAATATGGTTATTTTGTTATGTACTATATACATTTTTATATAGAAAAAAAATCATTTCTAATTTTGATGAAAAATTAATTCAGTTTGTCCCTGAGAGAAGGCTCCGGCAAGATAACAGCTTATCGTCCTATTTCTAATAATGAAAATTTGATGTAAAGGAGTGGGATTCATTATATGTTTTATTTAAGTGTTTTGTTTTGATTATTATTGCAGAATCTTAAAAAAAAAAAGAGAGAATTCACAATATAAATTTTGTTTTCTATGCGCTTTAGTAATGCATCAACAGCAGAAATCAATTTCGGTGTAACCACATGACACAGAAATCGCCCCTGCGGTTTAAATCAGTTGAACATCTTAATTGATGCTACTTTACGAAAGCGTTTACACTAATAAATTAATAAATTTTTTCATTAAAATTGGTCAAACGAACTGCATTGCTTGTTTTAATTAAAATATATGCCTATGTCTCTCTTATCTACAATGACTTCTGCATTTTTCGACAGTTTACACTTGTGGGATGTTTTTTGGTTTATGAATATAACAACAGTGGAAAGTGTTCCACACTATGTAACTGATTTTATTTAATCAATCTTCTCATCTTCGGGGGGTTAATAAATGAAGGCAGTCATTTGATGGTGATTAGATAATCACATTTGCTGACTGGGGTGAGGAAAAATAATCAAAAAGTACTAAATTGGTCCCAGTAAACACCATCCACAATCATATCGACTCGAGGGTAAAATTAGCCACACGGTTGTTTAAACGTCCCTCACTAGGTTGCCTGCAAAAGTAGTTTTTGTGATCCAAGCTTCTGAGGTTGTAAATCTTTGTAGCAACCAGCGTCACGATTTATGAAGAGAAACCACTCAAACATCTAATCTTAACACTTCCTGTTGCAGTAGAATCATCACAAACATTGAACAAGAATGTCTATTTAACTTTCAATGAGCTATGTTCCGCCTGCCATAACATACCTCCATTTTTGTTTACTTTTGCCTCAACTGAATTGTGTCTTATAAGGTTTTTGGTGTGACATTTCTGGATGACCTCGCATCAGAAATTCAGGAAATGGTACAACTCAATTCTACAAAATGTACAAGCTCTGCTAACGTCCTTCAAAAACGTAGTGCTTCAGGGAGCAAGTAAAGTTTTCTATGTACTGCCTTCCTGGACGAGCCCCCAAACTTATGTTGTCATATATCTTAGAGAGATTAGCATTTTGTCCACACTGCAAGTCAGCAGATTACAAAACTCTCCTTTTGTTCTGTTGCAGCTGCCAATAAATAATTTTGCGTTGTTTCAAGTTTAATTTTAGAAAATGGGACCTCTCATGTTAAGTATCATTTACGTGCAAACATGAGAAATTATAGCCACCTAGCTAATTTTCATCCCTTGTCTCATTGCCAGGTTGATGTATATGATGTTTAATGATAAGAAAAACCAGCATCAGATTACCGTATAAAGGAGAATCGGGGTTTGTAAACAGTTGTTTGCCATTTGTAGTGTATAACCGTACAAAAATGTTGACTTTGTCAAAAAATGTTCATTAAGTTGAACAGACTTGGCATAACAGTCCTAAAAATAACGTTTTTAGGACTCTAAGCTACACTAGGCTGAACAGGCTAATGGTGTGACTAGTAAAATCACCCTGTGCCCTCTGCAAGCAAATCTACTGCATAGTTTTCTCATGCTAAACAGATCCATGTGTTTTGTTTGGGCAAATATACTTGTTATCCAAATTTTGGCCCATTAGTTATTGTCATTTAAACCTTTCGTTTTACTGTCTTCACCGATCCTCGTGCAAAATCCCACCAGGCAGCGGTCCACCTCCAGCTTCACACCGGGGTCTCCGTCCACTTCTTCTCTACCTGGAAGGAATTCTCCGACCACATCACCATGACGACCAGAGCGGTGGCCGAGGCCCCTTTCAAGTGAGCAATCCGGAGCCCTTTTTGCTCATCGCATCTCGGCTCGGCGCCGCCTCTGCCAGATCATGCGGTCGCTTCCCACACTCCTCTCGGTTGTTTTCAGGCGAGCGCGAGAGCAGACCGGCTTCTCCTTTTACCTGGAGAGCGAGTGGGCGGGAGGCCAGCGGGTGGACAAAGCTGGGAAGGGCCTGCTGGAGGCGTGGAAGAGACAGATCCAGCAGTTCAACAGAGTGAGCTCAGACGTGGCGGCTGCCATCTTGGCAGCTTATCCTTCCCCGCAGCTGCTCAAGAAGGTATGCATTCACCTCTCAAGCATTTCAACAGGCTGAGATTCAATCTTTACAACCACTTTTACATGCAGCCATTAAGATTAATTAAATCTTCCTCTGGTTTTTGTACTGAGAACAGTAAAAAAAAAAATTGTCGTTTAGGAAGATATAATCTAGGCGTCCTTCCTACCTGTTACAGTTTGGGATTAACAAACAAACAAAAAATATGCAGATATGAAGCTTTTCCACAACAAATCTGCAGGTAATTTGCTTGAGATGAGCAGATATGTAAATGTTTTTCAACAAAAACAAACAAAACCATTCTGCCAAATGATACTTATTATCTGCTACAGTGGGCATTCAGCTTACCAATTAGAGCAGATTAGACATTGCCAGGTCGCCAGTTCTTGTGTTTTTCCAATGCAATAAATAGCTGAAGTAAGAAGTTTATAAAAAGCAGGAGAGTATTGAGATGAAAGTTGACTCTTTCTTACCAGTCTAGGTAGAGCTAATGTCTGCAATGTGAACCAAGTTGGAAAAGCAGTAAAGTTAGATTGCTTCTGTGAACAGCTTTTTACATTTTAATTAATTTACATCTGCTGGCACGACATGGGATCCTGGAGGCTGTTTTGTTCAGTCTACAAAACATAAATATGAGGCATAATTATTTTATGAAATACCTGAAGATACTTAGTAAAAAAAAAAAAAAAAATTGTTGGTGGATTTCATTCTGTGAAGTCGAAGTCCTGTTTCAAAAATAATGATTTAGAGGTTTTATGGCGTATGATTCCATACCTCACTCTGCATTTCCTTCTGCTGATTGGAAAAACCTAAAAAATATTTTCAGTGTTTAACAAGTCCCCATCCTTGAGCTGTGAAATAAAAATAGCTTTGCGTCATATCTGTGATGGTCTTTATTTTTCGTGTGACAATATAAAATTGCCCATGTGACCTTTATGTAACTGCAGTCTCCAAGATATCCTTTCTGAAAGCTAATAATCTCCCTGTGTGTTCACAGGCTTACAGCCAGTGCAGGACCGAGAACGAGAAGCTCTCTCTTCTGTCTGACCTTCTGATCCGCAGAGGAGAAGGCGTCACCTCCACAACCCGACGGGTCGGTCCAGAGCTCTCCAAACGTCTTTTCCTCCTGATGCATTCCCGTGATCCCGAGCAGAATCTGGACGCCAGCCTTTAAACTCTTTAAACCGAAACTTTGCCGTAACCCAAATCAATAGTTTGAGGTCCGACTAGTTGATCTACTCTTGCAGATTTTGATGCTGTGCAATAAAGTTTTTATACAACTCCAGCTTTGGACTACCTCCACTCCTTTTTTTTTGTTAATGAGATTATCTACTCCACAATACCTCTTAGATATGATGCAAAAAATGCTTATATGGAAATTTTTGGTATTTTAAAGATCAAAATGAAGATAATTGATACAAATCACATAATGACGAAATCAGGAAAAAGAAACATTTCCCAAAGTCAGTTTCTTTCAATACGAGACAAAAAAAAACCCTCAGGTTTGTTGTGTCTGGTGAATTTCTGGGTTAAGCAAGCTTGTTCTACCTCATAATAAAAATACTCAAGTAAAATAAAAAAGAACAATATAGTAAAAAAATTATTTTTTTCCCCCATTATGTCACTCGATGAAATGCAACTGAGTAAATGTAACCCAACTGTCTACAAGGTAGCTGAAAATTGATCAAGGTGTTTTGAAGGCCCAATCAAATTTCAGACCTTCACCTTATTGAAACACCAACAAACCAAAAGAAACAAAAGCAGTCCATGTCCTCGATTCTTCCATCTTGTCCTCCTCTGTGTTTAGGTTCCACCCGGACACTGGCAGTCATAAAGATGACGTCCCCGCCTTCCTGATTTAATCAGGTGCTGCGTGCACCGAACCACATCCCTCCCCATGCGTTTTAAAGGCCGTCCAACTGATCTGCCTGTGTCAATGAACTCGTCCCCCTTCTCCGGTGCCTGCTACCTGCGTGCGTCGAGCCTTGTTTGGGTTGTGCCGGGGTAAAAAGCTGCCACTGATCCGCTCCACTTTGTTTCGCAATGCCCCACGGCTCATTTCCGCTGCATTAGCGAAAATGGAACCTGACCAAGGAGTGATGTGAGCCTGGAACAGAGCGGGGGGAAGATAAAAAAAGACGGGGAGAGACACGGATGGGTAACAAGCTGTTAAATGGGCTTAAAGAGAAGAGCAACATGCCTCACACACAGCAGACACACACTGTGGTACAGCAGCCGATGAGTCAGGTGGTTCATATCGTGGAAGGACCACGATGTAGGGGGAAGCGGTAGATTGAGTAGGCCTTTATTATTAATTTCATCACAAGAATACTTTGATCATAATTATGTGTATGTGGTAAGGAAATGTCAGTCATACTCACAAGAAAAAAATGGAAAACAGAAGCTAGTGAAAGATTTAAAGGAACTTCTTAAAACTGGTCTTTGAGAATGTGACGCTCGCACAGTCCAGAAATCCACATGTCACGTTATCCGGTTTTCTGTGTGTGCATGCATAGATTTTTGCCTCTGTGCCGCCTTGTGATTGACTGGAGACTGGTCCAGGGTGCATACTGACACTAAGCCAACTAGTGTTGGAAACACTCACCAGCCCATGAGATCCTGCCAAGATAAGCAGACATCGAGTAGACGGATGAAGAAGCCGATATGTCTAGTCATTAATGTGTCCTTTTTTTTTTTGTTTACAAAAGCCATCAAAGTCTTTTAATTGGCTCATTAAGCCAGTTAAAAGACTGGCTCAATGACAGACCTAGAAAGACAGACTGGCAAGTTTGTCTAGAAAGACAATCTTGCATTCTGTCTTTCTAGAATGTGAGTTTACATTTCTGTCAAATCAAATCATTTACATACCAGTCATTTGTCTAAATGTGTGCCAAATTACACTCAACAAACTAGCAAAACTAGCATGTCTGTACAATCTCTGTGCCAGTGGTCCCTTTGTCATCCCACAAAAAATAATGAAAGGATTTTTAAACCTGGGTCCATCTGGGTATTTGGGGTTAAATGGGATCCTAGAGTTGACTAGAATATAACCTTCTTTTCTGTTCTAAAAACAAACAACTGTCATGTTCAGAAAAAAACAAGGGTAGTGGCAGTGATAAAAACGTTTTTTTTTTTTTTTTTTTTGCAGCAAATTTTTAGGGTTCAAAAATAGGCAGGAATAATGAAGATTTGTTGGGTTCATTTTTCTGGCGTTTATGTTGTAAAATTCAGTGAATTACTCCAGTGTGGAAGAGTCCAGGTACAACTATTTAATGCACACAAGCACATCAGCTTTGATCATTCATTTCTGCTGTACATGTAAACACTTAAAGAGCTTTGAAATAATCCATAATCGGCCATGACTTTAAGTATCAAACAGAGGTTACCAACTTGTCTTTGTACCAGGGCACAATTGTTCATGTTGTAAAGTGAGTTCGGTGTGGAAGAACTTTACTGATGAGTTTTGAGTTCAGTCCTCTGGGGAACCATTTGGACGAATTATGTCAGACACTTTGATGGCCAAGTGTTCTTCCGACCTTGATATGTGTGGCGATGTGAATCCTGAAGTTCATTTAAACACTGGATTGTTAAGAGGGCCAACGATTATTGCCCTGCAGAGTTTAAGCTCAGTGTATTTACGACTCATTTCCTGCTGGGGTGGCTGGGTGGTGAGAGCGTGGACGCCAAAGATCCATAAACTCCCCGTCGTCTGCATATAACAAGAAAATAAGTACATTCACTTCGGTATATCTGGGTTAACTGACTCATCCATGAGTCCGTAGGCTCGCCGTACCTGAAAGAGCAGACAGAAGACTGTGTGCTTTACCACATGCTGTGGCTGGGATGTGTAATTAGTTGCAGCATCGTTGCCCTGAGGCTGATGTTACATCAGTCATACAGGAGTAGCAGTAGTCCTCCTGCAGATACCAGAGTCTGCATTCAAGTTCAAAAATAAACAAAGAAAAAGCTTTATGGCACCTATGTTTCCCTGAACTGGTGGGGGTCTCGCATGGAGCATCTGTTTGCCTCTGAACACGTCGGCAGGAGAAATGAAAGAAAATGAAGTGTGAATAAATATCTCAGCCGCAGTAAAATTGTTTTCCCCCACTCAGTCTGTTTGATGTTAAATAAGGGAAGAGACTCCTGCTATGAACAGAAGAGTAATCGGTTCCCTTCGCCGCTTGTCGGAGCTCTTAATCAAAAGATACTGAGCTACCCAGCCCGAAAGTTTATTGTAAAGGCTTAATCTGTAATGATAACATTTGAAGAAAGCTTCATAAAACCTCCACCTTTTAAATGAATGTGATGAAATTGGGGGAAAAAAAAACAAAAAAAAAACGAAGTGAAAAGCAGTGACATCCTCCAAGAAACGCCGGGCAGCATGATTGTGCCACTGGGGGGCAGAAATGCACCGCGTCCAAACAGACGAGGTCTGAAACAGAGTCAGATGGCGGATGGGAGAAAAACATGAGTCTGTGACAGGATTCTGGAGACTGGATAAATGATCAGGCAGGCAGAAAATGTATCATGTAAACCAAAGGACTGGAGAAGGGTAAATATTCAGAGATAAGAGTGCTGGAGAATTTGATAAATGGCGCTGATAAGTTTGGTAGGATTTCCTTCTCGCTGAGATAAGATTTCAAAGTGAAGGGCGTGTCAGCCGGTGTTTTGTTCCCATGTGGGGGATGTCTAATGTCTGGTGACTTGGCTGGCTTTTAGCTGTTTGGAGTGTGGCAGGAGAGGGAGGTGTCGGCATGGATTATCATGAAACGGATCCTTCAGAACCTGCAGTCTGCCCCATTAATAATGTATCACCATGAAGTGTGATAGAATTTCACAATATCAGAAGGGAATAGGCTCGCTCTGTGTGTCAGTGCAGGAGGTCGGTGTATCTGTGTTCTGTGTACCAAGATAACCAGATAAAAGACAGAAGTTTATCACCCTTATTTCTCTCTCTCTTTCTTTAAAATGGATTTATGGCATTTTAAGCCTTCTGCCATGGAGAGGAATAAATTATACAGCAATTACAATGAATGTCAGTCAGTTTTAGAAATGAGTTTTGTTTCTTCAGCTGGCATGGCTCGCTGTCATACTGCACTGTGTCTACCGATCCAAACCCTTTGGAAAACCCGTCCCCCTCGCCATGCCGGTGGCGGCGCTGCACCAAGAGCCACTGATGGGAACAACACTAAAACCTCTTAAGAAGACATGAGAACAAGTTCCTTCTTCACAAAATGTAATCAAAAAAATGGAGTAGTATCAGATTTTAGCAGTTGTAGGATTTCTTTTTTTGTCTTTAGCGTAAGGCCACAAGCCAGTTCTTCCACTAGCGTTAGACTCTTGTGTTTGCTTAGGTTTCATTTAGCGGGAATTCCCTGGGTTGTAGCTCGCATTGGGCTTTTGGAGGGGTTTGCATCCACATATGCATTCGAACCGCAAGTACGGTTAGATGGAGGTTTGTAGGTAGATCAGATTTCCCTTTTTTGGTCCGTATCAGAGTTCAATTGCGCATGCCTTCTCAAACGAGCCAGACTTTCTAGACAAACAAACAAGAGATCTATTACAGCGGACTGGTTTTGAGGCGCAGTTGCCAAGGTCATGAGGAAGAACGTACTGTTGGTCTAAAACACTGAAGGTCCATCCGTTGGGATTTTTGGACCCACCAGGCCAACGTTTCAAAGTATAGATCCACAAAAGGAAGGAGACATGAGAAATCTGAAAAAATGAAATGCTATTGCTATTGAGGAGATTCCCATTTAAACTGGAGACATTAAGAACAGCAAATAGTGAAATAAAAGAAGCTGATAGGAAACAGCAACATCCATATCAATGAATCTCACACAGCCATAGACACAGCGACAAAAATGTCTCCAACTGCAAATGAGTTTGAGCCAAGTAAAAAGGATTTATTTAAATAAACATAGATAAGTGGAAAATAAGTAATGATATGCAAATGGATAATGGCTACCAAATGGCAGCAGTTTAACAAATAATGGAACAAATGATGTATAAGTATAAAGTGCCTGAAGACAGAAAGATTATGCAATACAATGAACATAATAACATAAAATTTCTAACAGATAGTGCTCCATAATTAATTACAACACAAATATAATTAGCATTCAGGCAAGAAGGCGTGCAAATATAAAAAAAAATACAACTTTTAAAGCACAGGAGTGAGTAAACAGCACATGTTTTTGAACACGCTGACCTGGAAGCAGCCTTTTGGCTCTCCGGGGATCCCATCAACGTCCTGGTCCAGATGTTGATGTCGA